CTTTCCGGATGGAAATTTAAGAAATGCTGTCACAAATAGACTTCTTTGGGAAACGGAAGAGGTCGTGCTGCCAGTCACACATAGGAAACCTGAAAATCTATTGTCCTTACACATATTTTACAGCCACGGCCTCTGAATGGATGCAAAATTAATTTAAATTAATTTAAAATGATCCATTTTGTGATTTATTTAATGTATGTATTTGTTTTCATGGATTCTTGGAAAAATCCCTGTGGTAGAAATAACCCTTGTATAAAAGGAGACATGCTCATTTCTTCACGTCTGTTTCAAGTAATCCCCTCTGGACTATCAGCTCGTAAAAGAAAAACCACAGGCCTCAAAATGAAACAGGTTCGATTTACGTAAACATGAGTGAAGATAAAGAGGCACAGAAAGCAGCGTAAATGCGTGGATTGTAAACAGGTATTAAATTGTACCCTGACTGTCCGATGACTCACTCCAACAACAGACTTTAGTCCAGTTTGTGATCTGGACTCGTAAACATGAAATCCAGTAAAGCACAAACATCTCAAAATCTCTTAAAACAGAAAAGCCCTCTTCTCTTTAAGATCTCAGGCCATTAAGTCTGTTTACAAAGAGACTCTCTGCTCCCCCGCAGAGCAGCGAGTGGACGAGTATTTAGCAGAGCATCACGGGCAGGTCCTGCATCATCATCTCAGTCCAAGCTGCAGTTTCACGTTATGATAAACTGTCAGCAGGAAAATAAAGACTCTCCTGCTGAAGCTGTGGCTTAATTAAATTAGGAAAAAAAAACACCCTCTGGGTATTTCAGGGTGTTTATATTTATAACTGTTGATTGACAGGTAAACACTGGCTCTATCTCTGTAATGAAGCATTAGAATTAACAGCTGATGGACAATAAACATATACTGAGATAGATTTCCCCGTGTAAAACATAATAACCTCATCCTTAGTAATCACCGACACATTCAGTGGTAGAAATGGATTGATTACTCCTTTAATGAAAGAGCAGTGACACTGCTATTCAGGGATGCCACTGATTTAACAACATGCAGCCGTGGCAGCGGTTTTCTTTTCACAATTTTTTGATTACTTTCAAAATGGAAATTATGCGCGAGGGAAATCGAAACCCATCTGCCGGTCCATCGGTCAGATTAAGCGAGCTGCTATTAATGCAAAACATTTGATTAGACCGTATTGTGGTGAAGTGTGTGCGAGTTTGTAAACGCCGCCTTCTTTCTGTAATCTGTTTTGAACACTCGAACACTGTGTTGTGATGACAGAGATAAAGACAAGACTCAAGCTTGGGGTTAGGACGAATGCAAAGACTGCACACAGAGCAGCAGACCCTGAATTACAATAAGAAAAAGACTTTCACATTAAAAGGTCCATTTTCAGACATGGCACCATTCAACACCTCAAGACAAAACAGCCACCATACTCAACTCAATCCCCTGTGTTGTTTGGTCATTGTTAAGGTAATGGTACCTCTGGGATTTCTACAGATTGCTCAATGATGTCTCCCATTGACATTTTAAAACTGTTTTTATCCTGCAAAGAAAACAATCGGTCATTTAACACGTCTCAACGACCACATCTGGGTGTAACCTCGGCACGTTCAGGTCCCAGATGCAGGTAACTCAGAATACACTCATTATCACCCGCTGTTAGCTGATCAACACCTCGCTGCTCTGAGCTTTAAAGCTTTAACCCTCTCCGTCTCTTTCTCTCTCTCACTTACTCAGCTTTTAATTGCATTTTGGGCGGATAAAATAAAAAAAGGGGCAGTGGGGTGTGAAGAGGGCAATCTCTTCCTCCAGGTGTTCCACAGAGTCCGACGAGTGGGAGAGTGGTCGTACAGAAACTCAATGTTGAATGACAGAAACCTTCTGAGCCGTTCGAACAACACTGCTTCTACTGCTAACTACTCTACACTGCTCATTTAGACTGCAAGCAGACGCTGGTCCAGACACTTCGGGGGGAGGGTGTCCTCCAGGCCAGAGCCAGTGTGGTCGGTTTATATTTATTTAATACCAGCACAAGTGTCTGTTGCCTCGGCTGCTGTGCAGCCAGGAACTGAAATAAGTTAACTTTGTGTATTGAAATAATGAGAAACTGCAGGGCGTCTCGATAGCTCAGTGGTGAGGGCGAGTCTACAGTCTGACCCCCGGCCAGCCGGGCTGTAAGTCATTCCCCTTCTCTCCGTCTCTCCACACTGTCCTGTCCACAAGACAAGAGCTGTGCCGCACTGACAGCTCCCAGCACATTTCATTTAACAGAGCAACATTTCAACCCAAGTGAGAATTGTCAGGCATTATCAATAATATTGTTATTGACACCTAAACAACTCTTATGTCGACAACTTCCCGAATAGCATTAAAATAAGTGTGTGAAGACTTAACCAGAGAAAAACAAAAACGCAGCAGATTTTCCAGACAATCACCAAACTGTAATCCTCTTCCTCGACCTTCCCTCCTCTCCAATCCAAACATCACAGTTGTGGAAGTAAATGACAAGAAAACAACGCGATGATTCAGACCAACAACAACATTTACATATCAAACAAAACCATTTTCTTGAGATACTGTGGAAACATAAACAACAAGACACTTACAGGATCATTTAATATCTGATTTAATCCTAATTAGTTTTGGCTCAAGAGGTTAAAAAAAGCCATTTCTTACATTAATGTATCACGTCACAGTTTGTCTTGTAAAAGTTATTGTTCACAGATGGTTTAATGCGACTCTCTCCTCTGGATCAATCAAACTCACACGCTAACTGCTTCCCCAGCAGCTACAGCTCTGTGACACTTACTGTTTTTCAAATATCTGTTACTCCATTTGACAAATCAAAACGGCGCAGTTGTAAAAGCGAAACTGCAGCTGACAACGTGTGATTTCTATCAACCTTTTGTCACCGGATCTGCAGTCAACGCCGACACCTACAGAAGACCGAATACACGTGCTGTATTTCAGCTCTGTGCCGGAGCTAAATCCTCCTGTGACTCACCTGTTTCCTCTCAGCTACAGGAGAGATTAAATGAAATACCCAGCAGCCTGTTTAGTGTCTCTTGTTATAAACATCTCTATCAACTTTTATTTAATTTTATTCATATTCCTCATGCATTGTAATGTCATCATCTCAGTACGGTGTTTGTTCATTTGCATATCTGCCTAAGAACCTATTTCTTTATTCATGTGTGTGTTTTTACTACGATAACGTGTGTTAATCACAGAGACTGTCCTGTGACACACAGGAGAGCGGAGGTTCGATCCCCATGTGAAAGTGGCAGTTTATGATGTTTCGATTATCCGTGAACAAAGTCAACCACGTTGTTATTACTGTAACCACGACAACAAAGATCTTCTAACGTTGAGGAAGTACAAAGTTTAACCCAAATCAAGATCTTTTGCAAAACCTCACCAAGCTATGGCCGTTATTATGGTAACCATGGCGACAAATGTGGGTATGCCATTGTCGGTACAGTCATTATTGTAACCATGACAACCTAGGTCTGGTACGCCTGCCGCCGTAGGGGGGCGCTGTTTCAGGAGACGCTCCTGTGGGTGGTATCAGACCTCTGTGGTTGTTCAGGTTGGAGGACGTGTTGTAACAACGTGATGTCATAGCTACTACATAACAAAAATCGCTCATTCACTTTATTCGTAACATGTTTGCTGCTGCCTACGAATCAGTTTCAACACAATGATTCATCTGATTGAATCTTAATTTACAGCTCAGACTAAAAAGCTTATTCACAGGCTGTTTCCTGTTATTCACATTCAAACAGTTTTTCCTAGAACAGCTGAGAAGTTGTTCCTACTCCGCCCGAAACTCGTACTTCGTCATTCAAAAACATTTTCCGATTCCTTCAGCCCTGTAGTGCCAACTCTGCACCTGCTCATTATTACTGTCATCACATTCATGAATAGTTTTATTTTCAATCAGTTTGTAATTTGTGCTCACGGGGACCGATAAAGACATTCTGGCATTTTATATTAAGTTTATTCCTGCAGCAGATTGACAACAGAGAACGATCAGCTGGGCAGTGATTGTTTATATTAACATTCACACTGGTGGCACATATTGAAAAACCAGACCACAGACTCACAGATAGAGCTTACCTGTGTTGTTCATCATGTCTATCACGTTCACAATCCGTGTCCCAATTATATGCTACAGACTAACTCTAACTATATAATAACTACACGTTCTTGAGTGTTTACACTGGAAAAGTGAGAAAAATATAGAAGCCTATACTCAAAGCAGACAGCATTCAGACTAACTACAGCCTCTTTCTTTGGTGTGCTGTTAATGTGCACTTTCTCCGTCAGTGAAATACACAGAGGAAATGGAGGAGCTGCTCACAGCTGGAAAGAACTGCATAAATTGTGGATGGTGGTGAAACAGCTCCAAACAGATCTTGGAGAAAAAAAAGTAATTGATATTATGAAAAACTTACTGACTATTTGTGGAGTTTAACTTCCAAAGTTACAGTTTGATGGATACCTGATGTTGCACTCGAATCGTTGAATCATCTCTGGAGTATTTTTTGTATCAATCATTATAGCATGACGACTGGAGCGATTACCGTGTGGCACATACTCTATATAATCAGTATGCGGGATGGCTTTGGGGTACAGCTGTGGTTTAGCATTATCTAATTAGCACTGAGGCGGATGGGACTGTCATTAGTTTTGCAAGTATTTGGTTCAGAAAACAAAGTTGACCTGATGACAAGAGGAGAAGAAAAAAAAAAAAGCCAAGGGATCACCAAAGTCATTAGGCTTCGTTAAGCTACGTTTGCATCTAAATATCTTTTATTTTTACTGCTGTAACAGAGCTATAACAATGTGGAAGACTATGACACCAGAGCAGGTGAAGTGCAAAATAAAATCCTTTGGAGGTCGTAAAGTTGTTGCGGTATTTTCCTGTTTATCTGCGTCTGTGTGTTTTTGGCAGGAGTTCTTGTCACTTTTGAACTTCAACTGTTCTGCAGAAGAAAACTTGCTCACCTGTGAGTTGAACCTCAGCTGGCAAACGCTGCAGGAGACGTGCTTCCTCTTGGCGGTGGGAGGGAGGCCGAGGGTGTGATGGAGGACAGCTTTCTGCACCGGGTCCATCTGGAGGATGGAGAGAGACGTAGAGAGGCTAATTAAAACAGTGAAAAAGCTGACCTGTAAATCAGCTTTACTCATCCGTCTCCTTTTATTTTTCCTGCACCAGCTCAAATGGTTCGGGGTGTCTGTGAAAAGGATGCTGCAGTTCTACAGAGCTGTGATTGAGAGTGTTGTATGGCGGCTCCACAGCTCAGCAGAGGAAGCAGCTGGACCCTCACCCCCATCTCATGACAACTACGAGACCCATGCACAAGTCTAAAATTACTACAGGACTCCGCGCACCCCGTCGCCCCCTCTTCATAACTCTCCCCTCACTAAAAACACACAAGGCCTTCAAAGCTAAGCCATCTAATTTCCTCAACAGTACATATTGCAGAACCACACAATTCCTAAATGGTTTCCCAATTCTGGATCAGTACTTTACAAATGCAAAGCACCAATTACTATTTTGGATTTAGCTGTATTTTAAAGGGGCTATTTGTAAGTTTTCTCTGCCGCTGAACGTGGTTTCCTGCCGGGAGCAGGTGGTGGTGATTGTGGCTCGACAAGAGCTTTGGCCATCGTTCCATTAACAAGACAAGAGGTTACAATACGTCCTCTGAGCAGCGCTACGTCCTTCAGGACAGATTGGAGGCTACAGTGAGTCGCTATGGGAAAGTGAGGCTAGCTGGTTAACACGCTAACTACAGCAGAAGAAAAGACTTGAAAGAGACAAGAGTTAACATTGGTGTTGCTTCCCACCTCTGCAGACGGCTCTTTGTGAGTAAAGGAATGAAGTTTGATACTGAACTCTCAACGTTTTTTCTCAACCGGTAAATAAATGAACAGCTATCAATGCTAACATTAGCTATAATGTTTTTAAGCTTTAAAGCACCTGGTATTTTATTCCCATTTTGCAATAGATTTGAAATGTACAGATGAATGTGCTGTTTTATGGGGTGGGAGTGTTGAGTTACAGGTTTCTTATTATGTGCTATGTTGTGGATTGTTTGTTGTCATGAACAAACAGAGACAAATCCCTTACAGCTAGGTTGTATAAGAATAAAGCACTGAATCTTACTCACTGGGCTGTAAAGAGAGAATTGCTGCTTGGAGCTTTTTTTAGAAAGCCGGACGTCCATCTTTCACTTCAACAGGTGATTGTGGCTCAGACATTCACAAAGACGTATCAACTATTAACTCGCATTTGCTGACCGGAGACATACAGCCTCAGTCTTTTAACATAGGCATATTACTGTAATAGCCGCAGGCAGAACCCTTCAAGTGTTCATTATCAGCAACAATTTCCCATAAGAAACTAAAACTACATGAAGCCTGTTAACCAGTGTTGTCTGTTTGTCCACAGCCTGGCTTTGCTTCTGCTTACTGCTGTCTAAACTAAGTGTGGTTTTAACAGCGTGTCTGTTTTTTGGCAGATCACCAATATAAAAAGTTGTGCGTGTGCATTTCCTCTCAGTCATATGCAAACATGCATGCACACAAACTGCAAAGTGGTGAGTGAGCACACGGTAGACTTTCATCTTTAGGACTAACTAGGAGCAGTCGTGCTACTGCCCCCGTGACCCTGCTCAACACCCACTGCTACCACCCCACATTTCTCCCTCCACCCAGCCGGTCGAGGCAGACGGCCGCCCACCATGAGCCTGGTTCTGTTCAAGGTTTCCACCTGCTAAAAGGCAGTTTTTCCTCGCTTGCCTGCTTTCTTTTCCTCGTCGGGTCCCTGTGAATAATATTTTAAAAAGCGCGGTCTTGACCCATTCTATATGAAAAGTGACCTGAGATAACTTCCGTTATGATCTGGCGCCATATAAATAAAAGTGACTTGAATTGCTGCGCGTTGCCTGTCTGTGTGTTGTGGTCGTCCCTGTGTGCGGCGACACAGATCTGAAGAATGAAAAAACACATCTGCCTCCCCGAGGAAAGACTCAATAGGCACCACTTGGCTGGGGAGGGTGAAAAGGTGCAGACACTGTGTGGGAGGATTAATCTACCTTGACAATTGTGCCGCAGAAGGTAGTCACAATGATGTTCTACTGTTGCTTTCTGTGAACGCTGTTGGCTGAACCGAAGCTGTTTTCATTATTTATTTTGGGTTTAACAGGATGTGTGTGTCAGCGGTAGAAAAAGTTATTCACTATGGGAACAACAGTGAAAAACTGTGCTACTTAAATAGAAATGCACAGTAATTATCTGTGACATTTACCTAAAGCTAAATTCCTCAAGTTATTTACTGTACGCTGATTGAAACGACAGTACACTTTCACGACTGACTGACTTTTTGATTGATGTTTGTGATTTCTCATCATTATTACTTGAATATTTGAATTGACGGAAATCTGCTTCACCGTAGCAAATAAACCTGTAAACACAAACGGTTTGATTTCTTCATATTAAAGTCCCATACTGTTAAAGGTAGATGTCCATGTGCTGATGGTTATAAAACAGGTCTGAGCCTTAAAACGAGCCGTCAGGACTTCTTTAACTTTGTGATGTCACAACAAAGCTGTGACCTGTCTCAGCTCCAAGTCCTTGCCCACCTGGACCCACCATCCAACATTGCAGGATTTGGTTCTCTGAGTGTTTTACCTGAAATCTGCTTTATTTTTATTAGATCACTCAGGAAACAGTCAGCCAATCAGAAAACAGGCTCAGAGCCTCCTCTCTTCTGATTGGCTCACCGCCCTGATTTTACCAGAGTTCCAGAGAGATGACTGAGAGAGGAGAAACTACATTGAGATGATTTTTGGTTCTTAAAACTTCAAATATATCTTCTTATTGATCAATACTTAAAATAAAAGAGGAAAAGTGTAAAATATGGGACCTTTAATTTGAAAATTCTGTACATACTCTTCTGACTCAGTAACTCTACAATAAGTTCTGTTTTTACTAAGCTTAAAATGTTTTCAAGGTTGTATAGTTAGTGTTGGTGCTGCACATAGCAGCTGCTATGCTGGAAGGTATTTCTGATATTTTTACTGTCAGCCACACTGGCCACATGCAGGAGGTGAAAAAAATCACGCAAACAACTCCAAAAGGACTTAAGCAGGAAGGCAAGTAATCGGGTGCAGGTGAGAGCAGTGGCTGGAACAGCTACAGCAGCTTGGCAACAGAGACAATCGCACAAAGGCTGGCTGAAAACTGGTCTCTCTGTGTTTACGCTGTGGGCACATAACTGCATCCATGTTTGCCTCACTTGTGTCTTTTCCTCACGTCTTCATCCCTCCCACGGAAGACAAGAGTAGAGAGTCGAGGAAAAGATGTGAGGAGAGAGGAAACTTTGATTGTAGAGAAATGAGATGTCCCATCCTTTAAACCGAAAGCGATGCATCAGTGACTTTTGATGGTTTGGAGTTTGTATTTTCCCCACATACACACCATCCACACTTTCCCCCACCAGCACAGCAGTATTTCCTTATGTTCTAATGATGTGTTTAAACTGTTTAACAAACATCTACACGTTCTTTAAAACCTGCAATGTTTTGTTTTTTTAATTTAATAAAAATGTATTTATATTTGGTTTGTAAATTCTTATACTTGTGATTACAATGTGTCACAATTCAATATATATAAATTATTAGCCCAAATGTTTTGGATAAAAGTGGAGATGAAGTAAATCTATCTCCCATCAAACTGTACAGTTTCTGGAAATTACAACACGTAAAAATGTGATTATTTCTGAAGGACACCTGACTCTAATGCAGAGAAAATATTTCTAATGAATAAAAAGAGTTGAAATCTAAAACATTGAGCGTTTAATCTGTTGGATCTATTATTTGTCTGTTGCCTTCTTTATAAAACTGTAGTGATGGTGTGATGCCGTCTCAGATCAGACCGATCAGCTGCAGTGTCCAATCACCAACATATTTCTAATGCAGGGGTGTGTTGGTCTGATAAAAGACTTTGGTGAAGGATGGTCTGGATGGGGTTTTGGGAGTCGGGATCTAGCCTCTGACTGACAGGCAGGTGACAGGTTAAAGGTAAAACTAGAGAGCAGGCGATGCCTATCAGGGAATGGAAACTTCCAGAAAGGACACAATTGGAGAAGGAGAAGAAAGGGGGTGAAAAGACATCATGACACAAACCCCGTCCAAGGAGGTGGCTTCCGACATCCCGACGTGGCTCAGAGAGACTGGACGGTGGAGGACTGTGCTCAGAAAAGAAAAGGACTGGAAGAGCAGTGAGAAACAGACTTAGCCAAAAAGCTGATAGAGACAAACTGGAGCTAAAGCTCAGAAAAAGACAGGGTAAACAGATCCAGACTCTTAAAAGAGAAACAGAAGCAGCTTGTTTTAAGGAAACATGACATGGGTCTGAAGGGAAGACTGGTGCAGACTCTGAAAGAGGGAAAGATGCGGCCTTGGACTGATAGACTCTGGCACATATACTGAAGTTGAGAAGAAGAGAGAGGCACCGAACGAAAAGCTAAAACTGGTTATGACCTAGAGGATTTAGCAAGGTTCAGACAGACGGACAGGTTCAGATAAGGAAGCTGAAACAGAGTCTGTCAGAACACAAGTGGCTCCGGTTTGAGAGCAGGAAGTCGCCCAGAAGCAGAAACAGATTCAGGATCCGACAGAAAAGAAGTTTGAAGCTCAGACTGAGACAAGTTCAGACTTGGTCACAGAGACAAGGTTCGGACTCGAATAGAAAGACACAATCAGGTTCGGAAACAGGTTCAGACTTGGACTCACAGGTTAAGACTCGGATAGAACAGACAAGTCCGGGCTCAAGGGGTCAGTAAACGTCGTCAGAACTACTTGTTACGTGGTCAAATTGCTTTTGAATCCCCCTTCCCTCAATCTGACGTTGGATTAGGTGGGGGTGGGGGGGGGTGGGGCTCTGTGTCCGACCATTTCACTATTCTGAAATGGCACCCAGCTCATGCTGTGAGGACAACTATTTCTGTCAGTTTTTGTGGGAATAATCAGGTGATAAACTTTGAAGGTCCAATATCTAAAGGCTGTTCAAAAGGGTTGCTGCGGTTTTGTGCTCGCACTATGGTT